TGTAATAAGGCCCCTCTGGTGTCACTGACCCAACGGTTTATATACTCCTTACTGTACTGCGGAGTAACAGGTGTGATGTTTCCCTAGTCTCCACTCGTTAACTATGCTAGAGTAAACTCAGACACTAGGTATAACCTGCCAACATGAAACATTTAATTTAAAAGATTAAAGAAAAAATAAAAGAAAGGAAATGCAGGATATATAGAAGTTTGACTATATCCCCAATCACAGTGGTTACCCTCTACTGTCTGTATCAAAACCCATGAAATATACAAATCCACACTTCACCTCAATTGAGTACATATACCAACACCTTCTTCACATAACATACAATGAACAGATTAGGAACACAACTCTCTGTACTAAAAGTTACTTCACATAAATATACAGATGAACAGATTAGGAATACAACTCTCTGTACTAGAAGTTACCGTGGGCCCACACATACCATAACTCAAAGTTCACACTCCCACCTCATAGCAGGCCTGTAAGTGCGCTAGTCCTGGAACACCGACCCCACAGTCTTCTTCACTCTCTTGAAATCCGAAAAACAATATCCACAGTACCTTGGATCCGTGGTAATGCACTTTAGGCAACACTCCACCTTGTGCGTCCTAATCCTCGAACGACGTGGCCTTCCTGTCCCCAGCCTCGGGCGCCGCTGTATCTCACGGCCGAAATATCTCCTCTCCAAACCGCAGAACAGACGTCTTCTCTTACACTTAGCTCGGGTTATTGAGTTAATATCTCCAACCTTTAATATCACTCCCGTGTTCGTTTAATCAACCCGCTGTGGTCTCTCCCGTTCGTCAGTCTCTCTTTTCCTCCAGCCCGCTCTCTCCTTACCCATCATCCCCCTTGCTTAATTTTCTTAAAGCTACAAGCACCCCGTTTTCGTGACGACTACACCGAGCTGGATTCCATTTATATTCTGATTTAAAGCCTAAACCAGACGAACTGTAAAATAAAACCACCCACCTACGCTACCTTATATCCCTGTGGGTTACATAAGTGTGGGCCAAATTTGAGAGTGAATAGCAGTGAATGGTCATGCTAACAAGGTAAACAAAAATCCTCTTCCTACGGTCATCCATGTTCCGACCGTCCCCCATCACAGTAGCATCTTTGCTGGATGGTATCACTGTCCGGTGTGGCAAAAATCGAACCAGATCCAACTTTTTTCTGAATTTTTTTAAATATTAATTTGACTCTAATGGTCCATATTTCATAATTCTGCCAGGGTTAATAAATGCAATGCAGAACTCAGAAAAGTCCATCAGGAATTCAGTTACCTTCAACAACAACATGTGCTTCCACTGCATCTTCTGAAGTAGTTTTGCTTTTAGTTTGTTTAACAATGCCCTAACCATCTTTTCATTAGGTTGATTCTTACTTTTTAAATAAGGGTTGTGTTGCAAACAACCTCACTCTCATCAATGAGTTTTACAACCCAAAATCAGAAAAAGTTGGGACAAAATGTAAAATCAAAATTATAACAGAAAACAGTGAAGTGTAAATCACCTGTGTCCTGTGTTACATTGAAAACAACACAGCAGCACAATATTTGATGACACCTGGAATGTGTTGCAGCATCAGGATTGAAATGAGTGTTTACTTTGAACAAAGAATAAAACTGATGAGGTATCACATCAAATAATGTGCTGCTGCATTGTTTTCAGTGTAATACAGGACACAGAGGATTTGCACATTTCTATTTTTTAATTTTGATTTTATATACCGTCCCAGCTTTTTCTGATTTCGGGTTGTATAAAAACTGTCAGTCAGTGTGGCAGGCTTCTGAGACAAGACAGCCTGAATCCTTGTGGGCCAGGGACAGCCCTATCCCCCATTCCCAGCCCTACCCAATATACTGTCACACACACTTATTAGCATGCACACAGTCCCTGTAAAGGAAATGAGGACTGATGTGGATATGTGTGCATATATACACAGCATGTAAGAAGGGCATGCATACATGCACTAAGCTCTAGGTAGACTGTGCATGGAAGGGAAACATCATTTCTAATGTGTGAGAAGGTGATGGAGGAGGCACGCAGTGGGATCAGTAAGCAGAGGAGGCTGGTGGTGTTTGGTCCTCTTGGCCCATGTGTCCATTTCTGACTTGTGACATTGCATCAGACTTTACAACCAGTGCTCACTTCCTGTGCAGGATAACACTATAAAACCTAGTTAAAAACCACCTGGGAACAGTCTGCCTCCACCCGGTGTCTCTCACAGCAAGTTTTGGGAAACTTGTTCAGCAGTAGTCTTAGCACTTTAAATGACAAAAACACAACAGATGCACATGCCATGCATGTGTCCCTTGGAAAAGCTTGGCTGTATAATACTTGAGCATAACCTGGTTGTGGAGAGAAAATAAGATACTAGCATCATGTTGAGATCTAGAAAACAGCAGATGTAACCAAGCTTAAATCATTTTAAATATTTTGGGAAACTTTTAATTGAATTTATTTATTATTTATTTATTTTGCCATCAAGGTGATGGCGGGGTGGTGCTACACACATTCAGTAGGATGTCCCCTGCTAATGGTAAAGGTAGATTAGCAATGTCACAAAGTCAAGGATTGGAGATCTTTTTTTTTTTTTTTTTTTTTTTTAATACAAAGTTTAAGCTTGCCAGTACTGTTGGAGCAGCCATTGACAACCCTTCCTCCCTGATCTCCTGGACATGTTTATTTCTGGCAAAGCTGTACCAAGGTTTTGTTATTTGTCTATAATGTGTGAATTATGTGAGCTTTAGAATCGCTGGCAGGAATGTGTGTTGTTTAAATACAGTCTAGCTGTTTCAAGCTGACTGTTCTGGTTTCATCGTCTTATTTAATGGACAGATATACAGTATGAGTTTACTCATTCAATTCTCAGCAAAAAAAGTGTACTATTTAGGAAAATACTGGACTATTTATTAGAATTGAATTCAGTTGAAATTATATGGATCTGGCCTTGTTATGTAAATTTAAACAAAATTAAAGGAATAAAGGTTTCATAATGTATCTTTTAAAACTTGCATCTAAATCTACATGATGAAAGCAGTGGACAGGGAAATATTAGCATGGAGCACCAGAGCCAGTACTGTAAATGCATCTACAAATTGTGTTGGTTTCTTTATCATCGCCTAACAGGTCAGTGTAACACTGGGTAACTTTATCATGTTTCTTTAAGCAGCCAATCTATGAGGGTTCAGGACTGGACAAGGAAAGTTGGGATTTCACTTCGCTAATCAATCTGCTAATCAAGGAAAAGAGGATACTCAGTAAAAATGGGCAATGAGAGAAAATATTAAGGTGAACTAAGTGAAGCTGTGAAGGCACTTTGTTCGGTACAGTCATATGCGCCCTGCATCACACAGCTTTCTAGGCAGGGATAACTTGAGACATGGCAGCTCTCTTCTTCTTCCTCTTCCTCCTGAGGGGTTACTGGTTGGAGAATATAATAGCAGCGAGGTGCTTGTGGCTTATATTAAAATGACCTCCTGTGACATTACACTGCCACAGAGGTCTTTGCACTTTAATAAAATCTAGATGGCATTTATTTATAATGCATGTGAGACAGGGGGAAACTGATGTTTGGCATGCAGACCCAGACAAGCATTATCTGTTTGAGTCTGGAAAAGCAAATTAATATGCACATATCATGATATTATAGGCCCTAGCTGCTGTTTATTTCTCCCCAGTAAAGATTAGTCAACAATTGTTGAGTGATCCTTCATAGGAAGACCGGAATCAGAAATGAACATTTGGTACTAATTGCAGAGATGTACGGTATGCTGAAGGGTGGCACAACAAGCAAAGCAAAGCATCAAGGATTGATATTTGTAACTGTTTACTTACTAACTGGACCGATGTTATTAGAAATACCTGCAAGACAGGATGAGAAAAGAATCACTTCATTTAAGGCATAAAACAAACTTTAAGCAACATTTCTCCTTGAGACCTGGAGTGACAAAGTCTGACTTCTAGCATTCATCATTTAAAATGCTGTCTGCAGGTTTCTTCTGTTCACCTCCATTATTTCTGTAGTGCAAACAAAATATCCCACGGAGAAACTGGTTTTGAGCATAGAACTGGCATAGTGACAGCCAGAAGCTACACCATTTTAGTTATTTTAAAATTGCATAGTACTTTAAGATGCTTCTCAGCACATCAGTCAAAAGAGTAGATTTCACATGCACACACATACACATGCACAACTTTTTCTGATTTGGGGTTGTATAAAAACTGTCAGTCAGTGTTTAGTGTGGCAGGCTGGATTACACTAAAGATGTCAAAGTTTTCCTCAGATGCAATTTACCCCTCCATCAAGCAGTCAGTCACCCAGCCACTGCAGAAATATAATAAAGTGGGTTACATCTTCATGGTGACCAGACCTCTTCCACACCAGGACATTGTTAGGTTGCTGCAATGATAATTTTGCCATCTGAACCAACCACAGACATTTTGGTTTGAGAATTAATTGGGTACGTAAAGACACAATTGTATTGATTAGGTAACATTGGAAAGCACTTCTCCACTGGAATCTATGTTCTTCAAAGGGACCTGGTCACACTTACAGTCTATTTTCAGTTGGCATTTGTCTACAGGGGAATTTCAGGACAGTGAAGCCAGCTCTTTCTGTAAGGCAATAAGGCAGTCTGCCCCAAAAAAACAAACACCATGGGAAGAGGAGGCATATTGGGCAATAGAAGAAATGTGCCCACGTAAACTAGAAAATAGATTCAATAGAAGGGCTCTCTTCTCCTCTCGCTCACTGTACATCTCTCTCACCATCTGCTTGCCACAAAGCTGAGGAGACATGAAGCCATTTCTGCCCGATTTTTGATGGGACTTCATCTAATGGAACTGTCATGAAATATCTCCAATTATACTGCAGACTATTTCCTTAACGTGTATGTTTGTGGATGTCGATTTTGATCAAACTTCTGTCATTCAGTCTTGTGCTGATCTCTGCCTGCCAGCTGTATCTAGGAGTTAGGTCTGTGACCTGTTTGAGGGCTGTGAGGTGCAGGAAGCTATGCTGGCATATGGAGGTGACAAATGTCAAACCTCAAGGGGGTGGGCAGATGCTAGCTAAGACACAGGAGGGACAAGGGCAAAGACAATCAGAATCATAATGACTGTAATCACAGTTTGGTTCTGAGTGTCACAATACATACCCATACACCAGAAAGGTAAGAATCATCCCAGTGAAAGTACATATGTTTTACATTAACTCTGTTTACATGCGTATCAGCCAGTGTGTATGAGTAAATTAATATGATGAAATGAATAAATAATACCATGTAGTGGACCTGAGTTATTAATTATGATTATTAATATACCTCAATATTTGGAAATTTAGGGGCACTAAGCTTTTTCTCTCTTGAGCTACATGGTAGCAAACAATTATCAATATCACATCTCAGTCTGAAGTCCATAAGGTCTTAGACAGGGACTCTTTAAGATATGTTTGGCCACAGAGTGGACAAATACAGCTTTAGTGGGAGTTTCTGCTGGAAATTCAATGAGAGCTAGAGCTGGTGCGGCAGGAGGCACTAGATGTTCCCTAATGCAGGCTGCTTTGTGGAGCCAACCTGTCTTCGATTGTCATCCAAGTACTTTTCTCTCTCCCTCTGCAGAAAGCCAGGGACTTCTCCCGGGCTGTGGCTGGCTGCTGGCAGGGCAGGAATCCGGTCTCTGTGTGTGGCTGTGTCAAAGTGAACTTAGTCACTTGATCTTTCTGATGGCATTTACTGTAACTTAACTTGAAGTTTGGCTGCAATCACAATCAGAATCAGCTTTATTTGCGAAGTATGTTGAACACACAAGGAATTTGACTCTCAAAGTGTTTTAAAAATGTGTATTTAAATTACAAAAAAAGAAATAAAGACAAAAAAAACTTATTAATAATAAATATACATATATACAGTGCCTTGCGAAAGTATTCGGCCCCCTTGAACTTTGCGACCTTTTGCCACATTTCAGGCTTCAAACATAAAGATATAAAACTGTAATTTTTTGTGAAGAATCAACAAGTGGGACACAATCATGAAGTGGAACGAAATTTATTGGATATTTCAAACTTTTTTAACAAATAAAAAACTGAAAAATTGGGCGTGCAAAATTATTCAGCCCC